GGGGGGTGGGGGGGGGGAAGAAAAAGAAAAGGGCGGTGTATTTCTGTGTTTTTTTTTGTTTTGTTTTTGTTTTTTCTGCGGTGTTGGGTTTAAAGTACATGCACAGACATTGACGTGTGTGGATGTAAGTTATTTTAAACCAATTTGATTTTGTACTCGAAGTGCTTTGGAAACATTTGCAGCCGTCCAGGCTCTCACCGTTGCGAGCTATGCCGTAAATGAACGAAACCTCAACAGGGACATCTGTGGGCGTGTGGATGTCACTTTGTTGAAACAACAACAACAAAAAGGTACTGGAGGGAAATGGCGGGGGAAGTTGTGTGCACAGACCCACATCACACGTATACTTGTATATGTACATAAACCCGTTTGTGTACATGTTTCTTTTTTCTTTTTTTTTTTTTTTCTGTTGTTTGTTTTATTTTGGCGATGCGTCGGTCGTGGCTTCGGCGGAGGACGTGGGAAAAAAGGACACGAAGAAACAAACTGCGGGGGCGTGGGGCAAGTTTGTACATAATTTTTTTTCATGTTTTAAATTACTGCTTTGTCTGACTGCACGCTTCATTTTTTTTTTTTTTTTTTTTCGGTGTGTGTGCTCTTTGCAGTCAACAGGGATTTGTGCCACTGACTGTTGGGCAGGCGATGACACAGCACACGACAAACACACTGACGAGCAAAGAAAGCACGAATGGTAGGGCCCTTTTGGGCCGTGCCTGGACGGGGGTGGACGACGCGGAGGAGCTGAAGATTGAAATGGCGTGGACCCGCATTACACCAGAGCTCTGCGAGGGGATTTGCCGCACCATCGTTGATCGGGATGCGGATGTCCCCGTACGTGTCGTAGACCTCATTGACAACCAGCTTGGCCCGGAGCAGACACAAAAGATCGCGTCCATGCTTGAGTCCTCCACGGTACGGGATGTGTTGCTGCGGTACAATGACATTGGGAAAGAGGGATGTGATGCCCTGGCAAATGTGGTGAATGTCTCCACGAAGCTTCAATTGCTGGATATTCGCGGAAACGGCCTCACTGCTGCCTGTGTGCGTAAACTGCTGAAGTCCATTTCCATGTCTACCGCCCTTACACGACTGGGATTGAGCGCAAATAAGATTGGACATGAAGGTGCCGCATTGCTGTTTCGAGCCCTTGAGAAGAATGTGTATCTGAAATCACTTGATTTGTCACTGAACGAGATTGGCCCAAGTGGTGCCGAGAGCATTGCGCATCTTCTTGCACTCCCCGCCTCGCCGTTGAAAACGCTACAACTGTATGGGAACCATCTCGGTGTGGCTGGTATTGCGCTCATTGCCGATGCCGTAAAGGGGAACAAGTGCCTGAAGGATTTAACACTTGGCAACAATAACGCCACGGATGCGGCTGCAGAAGCTCTCGCCGACATGTTGCGGGAAAACTCTACACTTGAGACGTTGGATCTGCGCTCTAACACACTGACGGCGACAGGGGTACGTATTCTTGCGCGTGATGGGCTGGCAAATAACATTTTTCTAGTTTCACTCTCCCTTTCGGCTAACCCGATAGGAAGCGTTGGTGCGGATGAGATTGCCAAGACACTCATTATGCATCAGGGCGGGGCTTTGACTCGGCTTGATCTTAGTTCTTGCGAACTTGGCCCCACTGGCGGGATGCGCATTGCCAGTCTTATTGCCGCCACCATCACTCTCAATGAGGTGAATTTAAGCGGCAACCAACTTGATAACGAGGCGGCGGTTGTTCTTTCAAGGAGCATTGTGAACAGCATTTCCATCTCGATAGTTGACCTCTCCGCAAATGAGATTGGGGAGTGGGGGGCAAGCAATTTGATTGACGCAACACAACTCAACGCTCGTATATCTTCATTGTTGTTGCATGGAAATAACATTAACCGCATTGTTCAAAAGAAGATTGATACATTGTTAGGTGAACGCATTTCTAGAAACCGTTTGCTGAACCAGCAGGCATCCCTCCTCCAGCCAGAACAGTTGGTGAATTAAAGACCAATCAGCGATGTGTGCTCTTGTGGTGGTGACCACCGCTGGTTTTGGAGGGATCCAAGAAAAGGGAAAAAAAACCAACAAGATGTAAATGATGGTGATTCTTACAAGCCGTAGAAAAATTATGGGAGTCAAGGCCGTATGTTTGTGTTTTTTTTTTTTCTCTTTTATAATTTCCGCCTTGTAGATAATTGTACGTACATGCATGCACCTGTCTTTCTTTTTGTCTTCTTCAGTGTGTTATGATGTAAGTTTTAACTTTCTCGTGGGATAACCATTTATTTATACTGCCATTTTTTTCTTTTGTATAATTAAAAAAAGAAACAAACAAACAAACAACAACAACAACAAAAAACAGAATGTCACGTTCCAGGAAGGCACAGCGTGGCCAGAAAGTTCCTTTTCAAGAGCCGGCGCCTAAAACAATGGCGAAAAAGGCGACGAATACCCATTCAGCCTCCCTTTCGGGATCTTGTGGTAGCGGGAGGAACTCGAAAAGACCGAAAAAGAACACGAGAATGGAAATGGCAGCGCCTGTTTCCAACGCGGAATGCGACAATTTACATGAGAGATCGCTTATGCCTCTGCAATCGACGCATGATTCCTTGGAGACAAGCGATAGTCTTCCTCTGGAATTGTCATTACAGGCAGTTTTGAGAGCTATTTCTCCAACTCCCAATGAACGGGAGTACGCGCGACAGGTGTTTTATGATATGAATGCGACTCTTTCGAGTTTGGATTTGTGCGTGGAACTGTTTGGAAGTTGGTGTACCGGTCTTTGTATTCCGAGCAGCGATATGGATTTTGTTGCCGTGCAAAAAGGTGCCGAAATGTCTCCAAACGGTGACTCTAGTGGAATTGATCGGAATAGGGGCAGCAAGCACAACATGAGCTCCAAGCTGGAACGCGTGCTATCGGAAAATCTCATTGCTTCTAATATGACGAGAGGCGAGCGTCGGAGGCTTTATTCAGGAGCTCTGCGTGCTGTTGGTAATAAGTTGCGTTTATCTTCAGCCTTCGGCGGCATTCAACACATTGCTCATGCCAAGGTGCCTATTGTAAAGGCGGTCCATCGCGGTGGGAAGAAGGTGGATATTTCTTTTTTAAGGGACGGTGTGTTATCTTCTCATTTTCTTTGCGAGGAATTTAAAAAAGAGCCGTTTTTTCTTGCGCGCGGCATTATTATTTTAGTGAAGGCGCTTGTGGCAAATTGGTTCCTTGACGACCCGAGTGTTGGCGGCCTGGGATCATTTCCCATATCAATCATGGTCCTGTGGTTCCTCTATGCTGAGGTAGCTCAGCAATATCCACCGGAGTTTAGCAAGAGCTATGCAATATGTCTTGTCGGATTTCTCAAGTACTACAGTATGCAGTTTGACTACAAATGCACAGGTATTGACTACGCCAATAAACGGACGTTTGAAAAGGCGGCAACATCAGAGTTGTGCATCATGAATCCATTGAACCCCGGTGCTAACTGTGCCGTGGCGGCAACACTTTTTGGTTCTCATGTTGTACATAAATTTCTCGAAGCGTACACGCTTTTTTCTAAACTGTTAGAATTTACTTCCGATGTTGCCTGCGTGGAGAGGGCCGTGTTGCAAGCCTTTCACCGCTCCATTACTCTCGTGGGTGGCCAAGCGACGCTGTGGAAGCAGCGGGAGAAGAAGTGCCAAACAATTGAATCAGTGGATTTGCCTCAACATCTCTGGGAGGAGGGGACGCTGTTTTACATTGGCGATCCCATGGGCCGCTGATGAAGCACGGAGGCGTGTGGAAAAAGGAAAAAGGGCAACAACAACAACAACAGTAAAAAAAAAAAGGATAACGAGGAGTTTATGGAGGAGCAGAGCGGAGGCTGAGGATCTTAAGCGTACTTTTGGCATTTCGACTGTCTGCGGAATAGGAGAGGGCGATAAAACCTGGACTTGCATGTTTATCCGTTTATGCATACATGCGTAGTTGCGTGTGCGTGTGTGTGTGTGTGTGCCACTGTTTGAATGAAAACGTATTAAGCGGCCTTTATCTTCTTCTCTCCCAATTCCACGTGTCATGCCAGCGGCGGCAAGAGAATTCAGAGAGAGGAATCGCCCGAATGCAAATAAATAAATAAATAAAAAGAAAAACGGGAAAGAAAAAATTTTATTTATTTATTTTTTCTCTTTTTGATTTCACAATCGCTTCTGCCGTTTAACGCAAAGTCTTTGGTGGCAGCTTGGGTGGTTCTTTGCTTCTCCTTGCTTGCTTCCCTCCCTTTTTTTTTTTACTTTTTTTTTATTATCTTAATTTTTTTTTTTTTGTTTGGCGCCTCTGCTTTCTCATTGATTGATTTTGCGCTTTGCTCTTTTTTTTTTTTGTCCTGCTTTTGTTGCCTGGAAAAGAAAAAAAAAAAAGAATACATAGACGACGCGTATTGCAAAGCGTCATTGATGTTTGGAGAGCTGGTGTGTGGCCCTCCTGGCAGCGGGAAGACGACGTACTGCGAGGGGAAACGGCAGTTTCTCAGTGTGTATGACCCAACACGACCCGTTATTCTGCTGAATTTGGATCCTGCCAACGAAGACGTGTTCCCGTACCCTTGCGATGTTGACGTACGGGAGATTGTCTCACATGCGCGTGTCATGGAGGAGGAAGGCCTGGGCCCGAATGGCAGCTATGTGTTTTGTGCGTCTGTGATGGAGCGCAACATGGAATGGATTACTCGCATGATCGAGGAGGCGGTAGAGAGGCGACTGCGAGATGTTGTCTCAACAGCGGCGCCAATAACGACATCAAGTGGGTTGCTTTCGACGCGTGCCCCGTATCTTATTGTGGACTGCCCTGGACAGGTGGAGTTTTACTTGGGGTCGTATTTCATGCACGCTCTTTTTAAGGTACTGACGAAGCAGTTGTTGTGTTCCTTTTGTACGGTGCATCTCGTTGACGCTGCCGTATCCACGCGTGACGTGGCGACATATGTGTCAAGTTGTTTGCTGAGCATCACTACGATGATTGATCATGAACTCCCGCACGTGAATGTGATGAGTAAGTGGGACACTCTTTCCGCTGAGGAGGCGGAAGAGGGGGAGACTTTTTTGCGTGCTTCGCATTTCATGGCGGAGGATTTTGACCGCTTATGGAAGAAACAGCTGCGAAGGCGGCGACGTGAGCACCGCCGGGCGCAGATGTACCCTACCGGTTCGACTGACGCGTCTCGTGTTGATTCGAAATTGATGGAAAAGGACGATACGGATGTGGAGGCCATTGATTTGGAGCGAGACGGTGGGCGTTTGTATCACTACAGCAAGGCGGTGATGGACGTGGTGGATGGGTACGGTTTGGTGGGGTTCCAACCCCTTGACGTGCAGTCACAAGATATGATGCTGCGACTCACACGACAGATTGATGAGGCGATTGGTAATTTTGTGTGAAAGTGAGAGGAAAGGAAATGGAACAGGAGAGAATCGCACAAAAACCGAAAATAATTTTGCTTTTTTGAGTTGAATAAATTTTATTTCATTTTTTGATTGTTGCCGTCCACTTCTTGTAAATTCCGTGCATTTCTTTTTTGCAGCAGCTGCTGGAGTGGTTTTCTTGGAATCCCTTTTTTTTGTGTGTGTGTTTGTGTGTTTTCCCTGTACGATGGTGTATGTTTGTATGTGTGCGTGTACAAGAGGGAATCGTGTTAAATGGACATTCTGTTGTGGACTATTCGTACATCCACCGACAGCCAAGAGCGCAAGAAAGCGGAAGCGAATCTGCGACAGTTGCAGGAAGACAGTCCAGAGGAGTTTCTCTCCTTCACGTGGAATGTTATCTCCTCCCCGACGTTGGCAACAGAAGAACGCTTCTTCCTTGCCTCAACGGTGCAGGAGTTTGTTGAGCAATCGTGGCGTAATGGTGTTCCAAAATGGCTGCAACAGCTTACGATTGACCGCTATACTCAGCTTGTGCTTAGCGAAACTTTTCCCACCTTGTCGCTAGCTCGGAAAGTGGCTACGATCCTAAGCATTATGAGTACGCGTACCAAAGAAAAGGTTATGCCGGGCACATTGTCGTCACCAACGAAGCGCATTGTGGGGTTACTGTCCGATGCTTCTGTTTGGAATGCATCTTTTGTGACGGCTGACTCAACGGGATTTTTAACACAAATTCTTTTAACGTTGCATGTTTTCCTGAAGGAATTGCGGAGGAAGCGTTCCTGCAGTATTTTTTCAAAATTGTGTGCTTTTCTTGTCCCTGCCATGTCCAAGCTTTTTGCCGCCAGCGCATCGTGGGATCACGGCGAATTTTACATGCCCCTGTTGTACCTTATGAAGTGTGCTTTGCGTATTTTTGGTTATGGCGTGTTTGAACGAGACTTCCACACATATTTACTTAAAATAACGTGGGAACTCACACGTGCCGTAACGACACCGGAGCAGCATCAACAACAGGATCATCAATTACTGCAGTGCCGCCAACGTTTGTTGGAGTACGCTCTGAAGGTCCAACTGAGGGCGGTGGAAAATTTTGCTTCAAGTCTGAGTGAACTTTCGCCGGAATTTTTTTTGCCACGAACAAGTACTGTGGATGATACTGTATCTCTCTTTGGCCTTCTTTTTGCCATTATTATGACCCCGCTGGAATATACCGCATCTGAAAAGATGGTATTCCGATCCATGGATATATTTAGCAAATGCGCAATGATTGAGGAAACAGTGCCCTTTTTAAACGAGCCGTTGAAAGCACTCGTTCATTCCCCGCTGTTGCATCGTATTTTGGAGCGGGCGACTTTGCTGCTTGCAGATGACGTGCAAGAGTCCACGCTTCGGGAGTGGGAAACAAACCCAGAGCGGTTTGTTTTGGGTTTAACTGAATTAGTGGGCGCTGACGACGCTGCGGAGTCCGGCGCAGAGGAGTTGCTGCTTTCACTGACAGGGTCAACGAACTTTGCTGCACGATGTCTTGAGGTGGAGTGGCAAGTTGTGAATGCCTTTTTGGCAAGTAATGATCTTGCCCGTATTACAGCAGCATTGCATGCTGTTGGATTATGTTACTACACCATGTCCGTTGATGCGGATCCGGCGGGTTATGTTGCCTTTTTGACAGAGAAACTTCTTCCCCTTATTCGTGGTGAAGTTTTTTCCCCCAATTCGCCATTTATGATGCGACGTGTAGTTTGGATGATAGGTATGTGGTGTGGATCAGTGCAAGATACTTTTCTACGACGCCAGGTTCATGCTGCGTTTGGGTCTTTATTGGTTTCTTCAACCTCCACCGCAGTGTTATTGAACTTGCTGTCCACTATTAATCAATTTATTAATGATTCAAACTTTAAGCCTGAGGAGCTTCCAGTGGACTACGTGCACAACTTGTTATTGACAATTAAACATATTCTTCCGCAGATGCGTACTTCTTCTGGAGCGAATATTTCAGCAGAACTTGTGCAAGGATTGGTTTCACATGAAGTTTTTAATTTTTCTAATGCTGAAGTTCTTTTGGATGTGGTACTTCCTGCCGTGTATCGATTTATAAATGAAGCCAACGCCATTATGAAGGCAGTTAAGAAAGACGACGACGACGACGACGACGACTCGGAAGTGGATTTGGGTTCCTTGATGGTCTTGCTCCAATGCGCCGCTGCATGCACAAAACTCTCCACCCCAGCGACGGAAAATCGTGTATGGGCTTTGTTTCCTGATGTCGTTGTTCCTTGCACTCTTCCTGGCGGTAAATTGGCGCTCGTGGTGGAGGATAACGCGTGGGAACTACTCTTGGAAATGTGTATTACGGTCCATGCATGGAATCCGGTCACGCGTGATGCTCTTGCGTGGTGCTTTGAAAACATGAAGCGTGACGTTGAGGTTCTGCCTATGGTGGTGCGCTGTGCATATCGTCTGCTGCTGCTTTGCCCGGATCTTTTGGAGTTTGTTTCTGCCGAGCTGGTAGATCATGCGCTGGAATTGCTGATACGGGACCAATGCAGTGAACTTCTTACGGCAGTTTTTGGACTGCTGGCGGTGATGGTGAGACGGGGCAACACAGCATTGCAGTGCCATTTGCTGGATTCTGCGATTGGGCTTCTTCTTTCCAAGGAGTCTGTGCAGTTGGATACATACTGCATACATTTGGCGTTGCTTGTCACCTGGTGCCTGCCACCATACGGGGAGGCTGCTGTTCTTGACGCCCTTGTGCAGGACATTGGGCGTTACCCCAATGCGGAGTCTTTTTCTGAGCGTATTGTCCTGCTGCTCGATGTGTCACCAAGTATTTTGGTGACGGAGGAGTTGAAGGCCCTGCTGCGCCTGCTACTAACAGAACGACTGCGACCGCTTTTGACTGCCGATGACTTGACGATGGTGCAACACGCTTTAGAGGGAACCTCAATGCCACTGCAGCATGAGAGCCAGGAAGACGACATGTCTGAAGCCGAGCGTGATCCGGCAGAGATGCTCCTAGAGTTGGTTGGGGATCAAGGTGAACCGCAGGGGTCACCGCACATAGTGCGACTTTTCACTCTTTTTGGACTTAACCTAAACCGTCCATTTCTTCCTTCATATTGAGGTTTTTTTTCTTATGTATTTATATTTTATTTCTTTCGTTGTTTTTTGTGTCTACGTGTTGGTGGTGATGGCCTTGGATTTGTTCGCTTGTGTGTGAAATAGTGGCAATGAGCACACATATCGACATATTGGTGTGCCTTTTTTTTTTTTTATATATATATTAAAAACCCATTTGTTGACATCTACCCAAACGGGTTGTACTGGAAAAGGAGGAGAGGAAGGAAATAATTATAAGGAGTCAAAAGGGAGCCGTAGAAAAAGAAGACATGAGTGAGAAGGCGGAACCACAAGGGTCCGATTCCACGGGCTCTGGAATGAGGACAGCCACCGCTTTGGAAGGCCTCTCCTTTGTGGACGAAAACAAAATGCATCACGACTTTCGTCGACTGAAGGGCAATCAGATGTACTTTGTTGATCACTGCACCTTCTATGAAAAGAATGGGGCACGAGGTGAAAAACGCATTTTTGCTCTCACTCCCACGGCGTTCTTTGTGCTTGATTTTGCCGGTACAATGGAGCGGGCCAGCCCCTATGAGCTCATTACAGCCATGTACCAGAAGAAAACGAAGGACAAGAAGATTTTATCGTTAAATTCAGCCGAATATCATCTTTTGCTGAAGATTCCGACCGAAATTGACTGCCACATCAGCTTTGTTAACGCCAACTCCTTCCAGAATTGTACCCACGTGCTTGCCACGTTGTTACAGGCGCGGCGTGGGGCACCCTTCAGTGTGAAGGAAATTCCATCCGATAAGGAGATTGAGTTCTTTTGCAACGAAGTACGTCGGGAAGGGTATTACACCCCGCGTGAGGTGGCGGAAATTAACCGCCAGCGCTTCCATTTTGATGCCTTTATTTGCTCAGCTCGGTCGCATATTATGGAGTTGCTTTCGCGGTTGGAGGCGACAAAGGCTCAAATTACCACCCACGAGAATGAAGTTGAGGATCTCAAGAAGCAAGGCATCGATGAGAAGTCCATTCGACAGCGCAAGGTGAAGTTGGAGGAGAAGCAAGTGCGGCTGCATAAGCAGATGTCTCAAAAGCACGATGAGTGCGAGCGGGTCCTTGACACCGTCAAGGAATTGCAGGAGAAGTTGACAGCCCTCAGTGGCAACAAGGAGGCGCTGGTGGAGAAGGGCGTGGCGGAGATGAAGGCAAAGCTGAACAAGAAACAAGAGGGCACCGTGGCACTTCGTCGCAGTGCCCAGCAGAAGGAAAAGCATGCAGTAGTAGAAAGCGTCGCTGCATACAAGAAGGAACTGCATGCCGCATGGGCAAGTGTCACGGATGAGAAGAGAAGGAGTATTGTCTCACAGATTGAAGCATCTTTTGTGGAGTTGGAGCGGGAGTTAGAGGCTCTGTACCGCCTAGAGAAGTTCCTTGCCACGATCAATGGGAAATTGCAGGTGCAGAATGATCTGATCAGCGCACAGAACCTTGAGAAGGAAAAGTTCATCAATGAGCGTGAAAAGAGGGTGGTACTTTCACGGAACGCCGCTTCTGCGGGGCAGGGAGGAAATATTCTTGACGACCCCTTGATTAACCTTTCTGCACCCCCTGCAGGTGCTGCTATTGCTGTTGATGATCTGTTGGAAAATGTCACAGCCGATGAGGATCTTTTGTGATGAGGTTTTACCGTTACCGTGATAGGTGATAAGTAAGAATCGTATCCTCTCTTCTTTTGGTTCCTGTATTTAATTCTTAAGGGGAAAAAAAAAAAAAAAAAAGAAAATAATACCCATTACACACATGCACACGTACAGATAGATTACCTATTCTTTTTTTTCCCTTTTTTAAAATTTGTGTGTGTACGTGTGTTTTTCTGCGGGCTTTAACGGGAGTAACTTGTCAACAGTGACTGGGATTTTTTCTTCTTAGTTTGTGTGCGTATGACATGTGTTTGCCATGAAAAAAAAAGATAGGAGTTTTTTTTTTGTTGTTGTTCTTGTTGTTGTTTATATTAAACCTTTTTTTGACATTAATATATATATATATATATGTATTAATGTTCACGTGTGCGTGTGTGTCTGTATATCTCATTGCTTATATGTGTGGTTTCAGTGGGAGAAGTGTTGGTGAGAGGGGGAGGGAAAAAAAGATACTCTCCCATGCTTGACTGTGATGGATGTGTACTGCTCCTACTCGCCTTCTTTCTTTTTCCTCTCTCTTTGTGTAAGAAGCTTTGTGGTGACTCTCGGTTAACTCCGTTTGGCTTTAAATTGTTGAGAAGAAAAACAAAAAACAAGCAAACAAATATCAAAAAAAGAAGAGAAAAAAAAAAAAAAAGAATGATGATGCGCCGTTTGATGATTACCCCGCCAGTCGCTCGCCGCGTGGCCGCTGCGGTCCCCTTGTCCACCTCACTGGTGGTGCGTAGGGCGTCGACCGTCGCCATTTCCGTGCAGGGCCTGCATTACGTTGGCACGGGACTTGCCGCCATCGCACTTGCGGGTGTCGGCCTTGGCATTGGCACCATCTTCGGCAACCTGTTGGTGGCCTGTGCACGGCAGCCAAATCTGACGAAGATGTTGTTTAACTACGCCATTCTTGGATTTGCCCTGACGGAAGCTATCGGTCTCTTCGCACTCATGCTTGCCTTCCTGATGCTCTTCTCGTAGGCTGTCTTGGGTGTGGTTGATGTAGCAAAGAAAAGTACAGAGTAGAATGAGGGAATTAAAATTTTAGAATTATGGCGAATATGAACGGGAAATAAGGGAGTAGAATGCGTAAGAGAAAAGAAGGAAATAAGGACCGAGCGGAGGGGGTATTTATTGACGGCTCATGGTGGTGATAACAACTAGGACTCATGATGGATGACTCTGTAATATTATCAACTTTTTCTTTTTTTTTACTGTTTTTGTGTATTTCTGCCACGGATATCTTTTTCTTCTTCTTTCTTCTTTTTGTTTCTTTTCTTTTGCTTGTGCGTCGTGTATGCACTCACATGTACCCGCATTTCAGGTGTGTACGTTAGTTTTGGCCGTAGGTTTTGTTTTGTTGTTCAAAAAGTTTTTTCCCCTTTCGTTTTTTTGCGTGTTTTTTTTTTTTTAATTATTAGACCTGCTGGGTGGGTGGGGGGGTGGGTTGGGGCGCTGTTGGATTTAGTTTTCTGTTGCCGCCACCGGTTTTAAGTTTTTTTTTATTTTTTTTTATTTTGTTTGTTTGCTTCTTTGCACACGCACACAAAAAAAAACTTTCTTCCCGTCACCGTTTTTGTGGCTGCAGTTTGCAGACGCCGTTTTGGCTGGGGGCGTGTCTGAATGGTGGTGAACGAGGCGCCATGGCTGACGAGACGATTGGAGATTGTTTTCATGATTGCGATGTTTCTCATTTGTCTCCTCTCGGATGCATTAAAGTGTAAAAACGGAAACGCGTTTTTTTGCATTGGAGGGTCATCTGCGATGTGCGAGCGAGACGCGAACGCGTTTTGGTGCGACGACATGGTGCTGCCTCCCACTCCAGGGGACGACACGGCACGGTGCGAATGCACAGCACACAACAACTCCCTTCTCCTCGTGCACATGGTGGAGGTGGGCCCCTCTCTCACGTCTGTCCCGGCGATAAAGAGCATTCGGCGCAATAATCGCTACTTGTATCGCATTCCCATTGCACCACTTGTGGTGTCTGCACTAAGAAATAGGACAGGAACTTTTATTACATCAAATACAACAGACGGCATATTTGGCGCCAGACTTTTTGCGCCGTTGCGTCGTTCAGTTGGACTTGACTCACCCGTCCTGGGGAAGTGTACAAAGAATACAAGTTCACTGAACATATCCTACAGCTTTGACAATTTATTGCTCTCCCCGTCATCATCATCATTACTTAGGGGCACAGAATCCATGATTCCCTTTAAAAACGACCGCTTTGCTCTCCAAAAGCACCTTCCAAATCTACAACGTGTCTTTGGTCAGCTTCTTTTGCGACGAAGTACAGAGTTGGAGTCCGACCGAGGGTCGTGTTTAAATGCCCACCTTGTTATTGTGATAGCTGTTGTGCCGGGTACACAGACGGCATGGATAAATAAGAATGCTGAAGCCGTTCCAACGACTCTGTTGGACGTCAATACGTATGTTAAAAAAACGATTAGTTTGTATTTACGCAAAAAGCCTCGTTATATTCGGCTTTTGAAAAACGTTTGGTTTGTTGGTATTCCCATTGGATTCCCCGTGCATCGCGACTTTAATTTTAGTACTGATTCCACTGTTTCGCAGAGCACCAGTGATCACGGATCTGGAGAGAAAAAAGAGAACTCTCCTACAACTGTAGGGGATTTCCCATTCAATGTGTGTCACCCCGGCGTTGAGAAACTGGAATTGTGCCGTGAGATGTGTCAGCATTATGGGAAGCAGGTTTCACAGTACCAGGCGGCAAACAGCGGATTGCAGAAAGCAACGGAGACAATTGGAGGACGCGTGGGGCAGCGCAGTTTTTTTCTTCTGTACCGCGATCACTTTAATACAGAATCGTATTTTGAGAGGTCATACTGGAAGGATTGTTTTCAACTTTCTATCAACGGGAGCTCTGCCATGGCAAGAAGCGTTGCGAGTAGTCTTTTTTAGTTACGTGTGACGTTTTTACTCATGTCGGTTTGCACTCCCTATCACTTCCCCCACAGTCTAGCCGCGATGTTGACAGTGGCTGTTGTCGTGGTACTGACTATGACATTCCGGCTTGATCACGAGTAAATATTATGAATTTGATCCGATTTTATTTGTGAGAACTCTTTAAGCGACTTCTATACATGGATTTCTACAACTCTGTGTCTTTGCGTGTGTCCAAATAAAAAAATAATTATATATATATATCCTTTTGCTCCTTTATGCTGGTATTAATTCCTTTTTTTCTTTTGTTGTGTGTTGTTGATTTTCCATGCATGGGTGCATACACGCACACACAAACACATATGTTGTTTTTTCATGAGTCTGCGATTTGATTTTTATTTTTTTGTTTTTTTCTTCATCTGTGGACATTTGAGGCTCGTTGAGAGGGGGTGGTTCTAGGTTGATGAGACGATGCGCTTTGATCACAGTCGCAGTCACGTCGACATCTTTTAATACCGCTTCTGCCGCTGCGATATCGCAGTGGGGCGCGAGGCGTGTTTCTTATCTTCATGATCAACATGACCACTGCAAGTCTTACCGCAGTGCAACTGCGTTCAAACTGCAGCCACACGAAGTGAATGAGTCGAACGTCCCGTCGGCTCGGGAGGTTATGGCGATGATTCCATCGACTAAAGAGTTGCAGGAACAGTTGCCATCCGCCCTTGAGCTGGAGGCAAAATACGTCCGGCCGGCGGCGGTGAACGCGGGCCCGGTGAGGCGGCAGGAGGAACCGCCACTGTGGCCAAACAGCGACACGGTGGAAGAAATCATGGAGGAGATGCGTTACGGTAGCGTCGAGGAGGGGGATGTTGTGCCGTCGCCATCGCCCGAACACATTTTACTGGCCTGGCGTGCGCTGATATGGGGCACGCTGTATGCTGTCATTGGAGTGTCTTTTGTGGTTTACGTGGCAATGTACACATGCGGAATGCGAGGCGTGGGCGATGTATTGGGGTACACGCGGGGTCGGGCAGAGCGTGAGCGCAGTCGTCTCGCTAAAGATGGAGAAGAGGTGGCTTATTATGTGGTGGATCTAACCAATCCTTCTACGCTTATTGAGCAGGTGCGGGAGATTTGGAACGCGCTGCAAGAGTTTGCCGAAGACGGGGATAAAGACGAGCATGCATCCTCTTCGAGAGAAGGGGGCCCACGTGTGTCTTGAGTGCGTCGAGAATTGGACGACGGCACGCAAAATGGAGACGAGGGTGAAAGGGAGCGGGGGAGGAAAACAACCACCCGAGAAGAAGAAGAAGAAGAAGGAAATAAGGAAAAGCGCAACGTCAACACATGGATGCATGGATTTGCTCCACGCAGAGGCGTCTACATCTTTACGGGCGCATGCGTATCGTAAAACGATTGTCTCTCACGACACTCCGTTTCCGTTTTTTTTTTCTTTTTTTGAATTCTTTCTTCCATAAAAATATATATTTAATGAGAGAGAAATGCGGCTCTTTTGGCTCTGAACGAATGAGTCCCCTCCTTGCGGGCTGCATTGTTATATATGTATATTTATATATATATGTATAATTTTTCCTTGTCGAGACTCTATTCTCATTGAATACAAGGTATATATATGAAGGGGGTTTTGTTGTGAGTACTTTTATGCGAATACGACAACAGTTTACCACACATATTATTCACAAGAAATAATAAAAAAGAAAAAAAAACAGAAGAAAAATAGAAGAGGGAGGCTTCAAGAAGATGATTCCTTCATTGGCGAATGTAAAGCATATTCTCCTTGTGTTGAGTGGCAAGGGTGGCGTCGGAAAGTCAACAGTGGCCTGCCAACTTGCGCTTGCCCTGACGCATGTGCATGGGAAACATGTGGGTTTGTTGGATGTTGACATCTGTGGGCCGAGCGTACCAACGATTTGTGGAGTAGTGGGCCGTGATGTTTATCGTGACGAAAAGGGCTGGCATCCCGTTTCTCTTGTAGAGGATGATTCAACTCCCGGGGCGGGAAATCTCAAAATCATGTCTATTGCATTTCTCCTGCCAAGTGACAAGGATGCTGTTGTCTGGCGGGGCCCAAAGAAGGATGCCATGATACGACAATTTGTGACAGATGTGCAGTGGGGCACGCTAGACTATCTTATCATTGACACTCCGCCGGGCACAAGTGACGAACATCTCACGCTCTGTGAAATACTCCAGCCGTTTAATCCTACTGGCACCGTGATTGTCACAACGCCCCAGGATGTCGCAACGGATGACGTGAAGAAGGAATTGTCATTTTGCCACAAGATGGGGATTCGTTGCCTTGGTGTTGTGGAAAACATGTCGGGCTTTGTCTGCCCCCACTGTGCTCATTGTACCGACATCTTTTCCCGCGGTGGTGGAAGGAAACTTGCTGAGCTTTATGAGGTGGAGTTTCTCGGTGCCATTCCCATTGACCCCATGCTTTCATTGGCCGAGGACAAGGGTCAGTGCTTTCTAACAGCGGAAAATGATGAGGGAAATGAAACGGTGACAGCGGTGAAGAACGTTATTGGTGCCATATTGAAACAAGTGGAAAGAGCATCGTTTCAGGAGTAAATGAAGGAAATTATAAATATTGCTTTTTGGGTACGTGGAATATATATGTTTTTCCACTACTGTCTGTGTCTTGTTTTCCTTCTGTATGTACATTTGTGTGTGTGTGTGTGTAGATGTGTGATGTGTAGGTTTGAGGCATCTTTACGGTATCGCTTTTTTTTTTTTTTTTTTTTACCCGCCGCAGGAAGGGGTTTATTTATTTATTTTTTGAACGACGGGCAGACGTCGTTTAGGGCAGCACAGGAAGGAAAAGATTTTTAAGGTAACGGGAGAGAGGGAGAGGGAGGACAAACAAAAAAGAAGGAATTTTGAATGCCACGGCGCAAATGTTTTGAGGGTCGTCGGATATGTTTGCGAAAGGCCCCAAAGGATCACACACTCTTGGGACTTTGTGTCATGTACTGCGGGACGGGCTACCGCGGATTGCAGCTGCAGACCCACGCACCAACGCATCACACCGTTGAAGGGGTGTTGATTCAGGCAATGAAGGATGTTGGGCTCATCGAGGCGATTGAGCGGGGTCGTGTGAAGGGAGACGTGCATCATTTTTCGCGTTCATGTCGTACAGATCGGGGCGTGCACGCAGTACGGAACCTTGTTTGTCTTTTTGTTTTTACAGAGCGGATTGAGGCGTTGGGTGGGTGCGAGAAAATAAAAGAAATGTTAAACACAACATTGCCCTTGACGATACGAGTAGCGCGGGTAACGCCTTTAATGGGCAATTTTATTCCCCGCTTCTCTTGTAATCGGCGTGTTTATCATTACTTAATACCGGCGTATGCTTTTGTGGCACCGTGCGACTACTGGAAGAGTTTTTATGAAAAATTCCCACAGGCAGCTGAATTACTGCGCCGCTGTTATGCAGAGGCGCGTTCTTTTTTGGATTTATCCCCTGCTGAATCGGATCCGTTACTGGCAGCACTTTTGGCTGCTGTAACGCGTGCGAATGACCTTCTCCTCCGTTATGTGGTGGGGACGCATCGTTTTCATAGCTTTTCCGTTGATGTGCCGCAGCGCGGCGTAAGCGGGTGGAACCGCAAGGTCATCATGCCGAGCAGCAATGAGGCCGTGCGATCCGTGTACCGCTGCGAGATTGCCCCGCGTGTTTTCTTGCTGCCGCGTAACACCACCGGGTTAACTCGGGCGGAGTTTCAAGCCGCGCTGCAGATAGTGGGGAAAGATTCTTCTCTTGCATCCTCCTCTGTATTGCTATCATCTCTGTTGGAGGCAGCCGTAACGGCGGAACGTTCCTCGGTGGATGACTTTCCGAGTGACGCTCCGTTACCTTTTTTGGTTTTTCAAATTGAAGGCAACTCGTTTCTTTTCAATATGATAAGAAAAATTGTTGGGACACTCATTGCCGTGTTAAGAGGTGCCAGAGAGACGCTTTTCGCGGAGGCCGTATCACCCGATCGGCGTGTTGTGTGCCCGCTAGCTCCAGGGCCGTATTTGTATTTGTTTCTTTCGACGTATCGCCGGTATGACACGGTTGTGCGTGGCAGCCGCTCGGTGCGTTTTCGTCCGATTGCACACGAGTGGCGTGGCGAAGTCACTGAGGCGGCTGCGACTTTTGCTCGTTCTTCCGTTGCAGCCGATGTCGTTGATCTCGATCTTAACCGTACACCTGCCATTGGCACGTTGCTTGCCGCACGCGATGCTGCACGCCGAGTCACGCGTCCCTGCTGGGAAGAGGAGGAGGACTGCCATCTTTTGTCCTTGAAAGATTACCATCCGGTCGCTGTGGAGCCACACCCGCCCTTTTCGGAAATGACGATGTTCCTGCGATCTCTGCGGGTGCACAATTGGAGCATTGAAATTGTAAAGTCACCCGCTTGTGCCAGTGTTGTTTCCTCAAAGGGAGGGGGCCATTTAACTTCCAACAAGAATGATGATAAATTGAACAAAACACACAAGCGACAGAGGCAAGGACTGGCAGAAGACTCGGCAGCCGAGGGAGGACGACCACTGAAGATAAAGCGATCTTGTGAGGATACGAGTGGTGGAGGGAGTGGAGAATCCTCCGTTTTGATGAAGACTTTGGATAACAGGGATGCTGGCAACAAAGAGAGCCCGAAAATGGATGCTGATGCTGATGGCGATGACGATGATGATGACGACGACGGTTGGATTTATGTCGCCCCAACGGAAGAAGCGGCGAGAAGCAAACGCCGTGCGCACCACCAAAAACAAAGGGAGCGTTCCCGTGCGTGGGTGCACGGCGGTACCGAAAAGGAGGGAGCGGCAGCCGATTGGGAAGGCGATGGGGGAGGCAGCGAGTAATTTAAGCAGGTGATAATTTTGCCTCACTTTTTCTGTCAGAAGGGGTCTAAGAAAGTTGGAAATTATTTAATGGCAAAGAGAATATATATATACGGTTATTGGGATAAGTGAACATGATTTTATTTATTGGAACTTGGCCTTACTTTTATTTTTTATTTACTTTTTTATTTTTATTTACTTTTTTTCTGACCTATTTAATGGGTGGTCCTTCATTGTATTAGCGGCAGTGGCTGTGGCCGTTTCTGGACGAAGCATGGGCGAAGACCACATTTTCAAGTCGGGTGTGTCGCACAATTACTATGGAGAGGCATTGTATGCGCAACAGAAGCCTATTCCCTGTCCACAATGCAAACGTGTTGGGCGTCTTGCTGGGCATCTAAACGAGATTTACCGCCGCATCCCCAGGACTCAGTGGGAGGCCCTTGTACTCTGTCATAGATGTGGCGAGAATGTCTTGCGTCACGAGGACATGGCAACTCATCGGCGTGTGTGGTACTGCTCATACTGCGAGATATGCCTTTGTACCAAATGCCAACGATAACTGAAGGAAAGAGACGATGCAAAATGCCGCCCATTCACGGGTATCATTCTTGTATTGTCTTTATGTGTTCCTTCTTATTTTTTTTAATGATGATGTGTGCGTTTTGGTGGCGTCGATTGTGATGAAGATCATTTGGCTTTCTACCGCTGTGTCTCGTAGTAGTTGCTTCGTTATTATCATTGTTTTTTCTGTGGTGTTCTTTTTCTTTTTAAATCTTTTTTTGTCTTTTTGCGGATGGTAATGCGGAGAGCGACTCGTTTTTTTTTTTTTTTTTTTTTTTTTGTGTGTGTGTGTATGTTCCTTTTCTGGGCAACAGAAATGAAAACGAAGTTTAATAAATGTATGCATGCATGTGTACATATGTGGGCTACCTTTCTTGTGGTTGCACTTGTTTATTGTTTTTACTTATATATATATTTTTTTTTTGTACGTGCTTCGGTTGCTTGGCGTAGTGTGGTGCTGGAAGTTGGGGTGAGGAGGGGCTCCTGGCGTGTGTCTCTGTGCATGTTGGGTGCTGGCAACGGAATCGAGTCAAGTCTTAGTCGTTTCTAATGACGGCAGATGTGGGCTTGTTGTCCCACAAAGAAATTGGCAGGGCACGCTCACGCTGCCGTGCATGGATGATTCGATTGGCGAAACACTTGTCTCCTCTCGATGCCTATACCGTTAGGCCTGATGGCTCCCAGCCGTTGGATTTGATTGCATTGAATGCGGGAGTACAGGCAGGTGTTAGTCCCTTTGCGCTGCGTCAGGCCCTTCTTGCATACACACAGCTGCCAGAGGATATATTAAATATTTACTTTAGTTCTCTTCTCCCGTTTGCCTTGGTTCATTCAACGATGCCTGAAATGTCATTGATGCCACTTGTAACAAAGGCCTTTGGAATGGAGATGATGGTTGAAAATACCCTTGGGGTTGTGTGCGTGATTCGTGTGCCGAATTTATGGGCCACCGGATCATCACCCCGTGGTGGACTTTCACTTCTGTATCTACTTTGTTGCAGGGCTGGGGCTGTATTGGATGCAATTCGCCGCTTTTTTCAGCCGCCAACATTAGGAGTGGACGAACGCGTGTTTCATGGATCACCACCAGAAGATGAGGATGATGCTGGCGTGCGCGTACTTTTCTGCGAACCGATCGAGGAAGTGCCGGGACTATATATTGTAAAGGAATTTATTACGCAGATGGAGCATGACGCCGTCTGGTCGGAGTTGAAAGGACCAAAGGCTGCGGCACTGGAGTTGGAGACTCTCGCCCACCGCAATGTTGCGCACTTCAACCGACGGTTTTACTATGGTGTGAATCGAATTGGAGTGGAAGGGGATTCCGTTAATGCGAAGCCAGCCTTTTATGACTGGATGCAGCGACGTCTGAAGAACGAGGATCCAAGGCGAAAACTGCAGGACTATCCTTCTGTGGCTCAGACCTTTTCTTGTGACCAACTGACAGTGAACTTTTACAATTATAAAGACGGGGATACGGCTGCTTCAGGTATTGCCCATCACGTCGATTCCCATGCATCGTTTATGGACTGCATCTATATTGTTTCTCTTGGATCCCATACAGTTTTGGAGTATAATCGACACGGCGTACCACCAGACGTGGCAGAAACCTTTGGTGTTTTTGTGGCGCCAAGAAGTCTGCTGCTCATGACAGGGGAATCACGTTATTCGTGGACGCATGGGATTGCTGGGAAGCGGGTGGATATTCTTAGTGATCGAATTCCCCCCGTGTGGCGCGGGGACCGTGTGAGCCTCACGTGGCGATGTGGTCGTGATGCTCCGCACCGGCGCATCCATTGTATCTGTAAGGAGTTGTGCGATGGTGAGTAAAGCAAGAATACATTCCATTTACATGCTTATACGCATATGTATTTATTCCTTAAGTTTATATTCTTTTGCCTTGAAAAGGAATGCGTATGCGATAACTTTATTATTTTTTTTCTGTGTTTTCACTTCTTAGCCTGTTGTTGGTGGTGTTGTGCAGGAACAACAGCAAATGAACCCTGGGGAACTAGCAGACGCCATGGCATCCCCCGCACCCCGTAGAAACTATGGATACCACATAAGTAAGTGGTCATATATGATGACTTCCCTTGTTTTGCTTGCGGCGGTGCTCATCTCATGGCTGCAACAAGAGGAGCGGAGTTTGATTGGGCGAACACTTTTTGTGAAGCCCAAGTTTGTTCTGGATGGTGGCAGTTTTTATGCCACAACTGAGGATGGAAAACCTGTACGACTGCGTCTTCGGCTTTTGGAGGCCCCAGAACTTGATCAGCCACACGGTCGACGCTCCCGCCTTCATTTGAGTCAACTGCTGCTCAATCGTCCCGCACCGGATGTGCTTTGTCGTGTGACGGGAGTGGATGATGTCGGGGGTCTTATCGCAGATGTTTTCATCCCCGGCAACGGCTCGGACCCGAGGAGTTTGAAAAATGTGCAGGAAGAAATGGTGCGTCAGGGGTGGGCGTGGGCAATGGAAGGCGGCTTCGCTCCCAACCAAAAACTGCGCGCCATTATGAATGAGGCGCGTGAGGCCAAACGAGGCCTCTGGGAAGATGACAGAGCCGAGATTTTATACATGGACCGTTTGATAAGAAGACGGAAGTTAGGCCTGCCATCGCAAGCGGCAAGGCAGCGTCAGCAACACGGCGGTCGGAGTAGCCCTCGTTTTCGTTGAGTGTTGCCGCAGCTCGAGCGGTTGTGATCTCCACATTGGCGCTAATTGTGGCAGAAGTGTCTTTTTTTTTTTTTCCCCTTTTCGAGTTACACGCTTTTGACGCAGTTTTCTGGGAACTCTTTCAGTGACGCAAGTTGACGTCGCAGATGTGTGCGTGCGATCCAAGAGTGAAAAATTCATCTTTGATCCTTTGGTTGTTTGATTTCGAACGGTTTTTTCTTTTTTTTTTTTTTTTTTTGCATGGCTTTTTGTCTCTGTTGGTGCGTTTCCCTCATTTTTCAGGGGTTTCTCGTGCTGTCTTTAACGCAAAAAAAAAAAAAAAGAAAAAGAAGAAAAGGAAGGAACGTGTGAGTGTACGCACATCCGTGAGAACTGAACAAAAAAGGGTGGAAAAAAAAAACAAAAACAATAAAAACGTCACACACACACACACACGCACTTTTCAATGCGCATTACACGTGGGTTTCACATGCGAATGTCGCGGGTGCAGCGTCAGGTAACTCTGCCATCAACAACGAAACTGAACCCGGCCCCTGACCATTACGTGGCATGGGGTAAGGCCATATTAACAGAGAATTATAGACGCGTGGGCCCGGAGCATATGTTCCGTACCGCTATTCGTGCACAGCAGCAACTGCAGGGCCTTGCTGATAAGTGGACTCCTGACGCAAAGGTGTATTGCTGTGGCTCTATGGTTACATACGGACAGATGGAATGGGGAAGTGATCTGGATCTTGCTTGCATGTTCGATGATCCTTATCCTTCTCATGAGGTTCAAGCAAAGCGAACAGACAAACTATGGACTGTTATAAAACGTTATGTCCCACACTATCTGCGAAACAATCTTCTTGGTCTAACAGAGGCCCGCACACCTGTGGTGAAGCTTCGGTTTGCCAATGACGAGAAGGTTGCCCGTGCGCGGTACACACCATTGAGTGAGGAGGAAGATCGTAAGGCCCGTACGGCGCTTTTGGATGTGCGAAATCAATGCATTGATGAACGTGAGGTGGAGTACATTGCGGATAAAATGGGAAGAGAAAACGTAGAGGGCATTTGGGTAGACCGCACAACGTACGGCTGTCGTATTGCCATTCAGTGCTCCTCAAAGGAGCAGATGATTGAGGCAATTGGATTTTTTCCAGATGGTAAAATTATGACTCGAGGCATGCGTGAGGACTATACACGTGACGTGCTTGATCCACGTTATGTACCGGAGATTTTTATGTATCGCTGGGATATTTCTTTTGTGGGATATGGTGTGAAAAACAGCTATCTAATTCGTTACTATTTGCACAACGGTCCCAGTGCCACGCGACACGCGGCGATGGCTGTGAAAGCATGGGGTAAAGCCACAAATGTGGGCGCAGGATCTGCCGCGATGCTTACATCTTACGCTGTCACCATCATGTTTCTTTATTATTTACTTGTCACGCAGCAATTACGCTGGGTCGACCCATGGTCTCTCCCGCATCCGGCGCATCTCCCGCGATATCCCGATTACTCTCCTCTGCCTGAATGCGATCCGACGGAATTGGGGCGTTTATTGCACGGCTTCTTTATTTTTTACGCCCATCATTTTGACTATGAGAAGGAAATTGTCAGCCTCAGCCGTAATCGTCGTAGCCAGCGCTCGGATATTGGGTGGATTTTTCCACAGAACAAAAAGGGTACTTTTAGTTATAACTTCTGCATCGAGGATCCATATGAGGATGTGGGGACCGGGGGGCTCAACTTGGGTCGTCATCTCCATCCTGCAAAGTTTCAACTTGTAAAGCAGGAATTCCTGCGAGCGGCGCAGTGCATGGAGCGATTTTCCCCATTGACTGCGCCTGAGAAGTCGGTTCTTGGCGTTCGCCGCGCAGAGTTGCGCCACTTTGATAGGGGAGATAAAGAAAGAGATTGGTGAGGTGGAGCGGAATGAAATAGCGATTGCATCATGAGACCCCGTTTGTTTGGCTCTCGTTGTTTTTCTTTATTTTCTATTCAGACCGTTTTCTACTTTCAAATACCGCCACTGTGTACGCCCTGCATGAGCAATCTGCCATCCATGCATTATATTGTAAGAATATTGGGAGCTTAAAACAAATTGTTTACATTGCTTAATTAGGATTTATGCATGTTGTCGTCAATATGCATATATATATACTGTTCTGGAAAG